ATTCAAAACAATAACATGTTTAATTGTATTTACACAGCATTTTTATTTCATATTTACCAGCATCAAAACTAATTTCTTTTGTACATAAGTTAGACAATAAAATGACTGGCTTTGACTGAAACTGACATTCATCATTCAAAATAGAATAGAATTTTCTTAATTTAAAATATTAAGACAATCATCTGTCTACCCTTGAAACGTTTTAAAACTCAAAATTTTGTAGAAAATTAGAATCAAGTAAAAAATGTGTATATAAATAATAATCAGTGAATTTACAGTTATGCTTACAGAAGCTTTATATTTTTCAATTTTGGCTAACAATATGTATTTTATTAAATATATATCTTCAACAAATACACAGTACAGTAAAGAAACAATAATAATATATTAATTTACATAGTTGGTTTAAATTGTAGATTTAAAGGTGTTTTGTAATTTTATAGTACAGGTTCAGCCTCGACTTCTTGGCCGAATCCAAGTATCTCGGCAGCAAACATGTCCGCTGTGATTTGCTCAGGGAGGTTGTCCTCAATAAGATCAGCTGAATTACTTGAATTGAACATTCCAAGCTCTGAGCTCCCTCCCTCTGGATTGAATCCAAGTAAGGTTGTAATGTACTCTGCGACCTCCATTTCTGTCATGTGTTCCCCTGCGGAGAAAAATACAACGTTTCGTAAATGACATCTTTTTTTACACTTTGTAACCATCCTTGTTAAACACAGTACTCATGTTACAGTTCACTATATAATATATGCAGTGAGAAAAAATTAAATTACACACTACCACCATTCAACAGTTCTGGATGTACACGCATGTTAGAATTAGGGCAACAGGCAGAAGTGAGGTAGAGGCGTTAATTAAGTGGGTTTATAGCCATGTGCTGTGGCGGACCCAGGAATTCGAAATTGAGGGGGCCCAGGGAAGGATTTCACAGATGAGGGTGCCCCCTCAGCACCATTATAGTTGGGGTGATGTGAAAAAATATGATTATGGCAGAAATTTAAAAATTTTTTTTAAACTTAGGGCCCCCGGTGTGGCTGCCCCCACCCCCAGTCTTGGAAACGCCACAGATGTTGGCTCAACTTCAGCATGTAGAAAAATTAATTAATATTATGCAAATAAATAAATTAATTACATAAATATAATAACTTCAAATAAAGATGTACCTCTAGTCTGAAGAATATCTAAGAGATCCCCTCTTTCGATGGCCGCTTGACCGTCAACTTCTTCAAGACCTAAAACTTCAAACGCTTTGTGAAGTTGATCAACAGACAGACCAAATGCTGGACGATGGTTCACGTATACTGTAAAGAAATTAAAAATATTCAGCATAAATAGAGTTAATATTAATTATGGGTAATCAATGAAGAGAATGATGCTGTTGAATGTCAAGGACAACAGCTTCACTTTAAAACAAGAGGCAGAATAGTATCGGGGTAAGCCCTACACATTTTCCGCCATCTATAGGTGCCATAATCATAAATTTGCTTACAAGGTGGGGCTGATGTGATATTGACACCCTATCTGTGCAAGTCCTTCCCTCGTCCCCCTCTATTTCTAAATGCTGAATCTGCCACTTAAGATGTTTAAAATAAACTCAGAACAACAGTATTATATTATTGCAGTTTAAAAGGACCAGGGTTCAGAGTCTTATTAAAACAAAACAAAAATAATAAACTTTAATACTTTTCATTCACAAAACTAAGCAAGAAATATTAGGGAAAAAAGTACAAGTAGCATCATTAAAACAATTTTTTGTGTGAAAAAATCAAGTATGAAATAAAAAAAAAAAATTTTAAGTGATCACATTCTAAACCTTAACAGCAATAATGTATATAATCAGCATAGAAATAGTGAATAAAATTCTAATGATGGCTTTTATTTATTACTTTATAGAAAAAATGCAAGTTAATTCTTAGTTCAATGTGATACTCTAAAATAATAATCTTGATTCCAAAATGTAATTAGCGAATTTATTCTGTGTTCAGCTGGGCTCTATTTACTTGATAGAGAACTGGTTTCTTTTTTTTTCCAGCAATCGAGAGATATTCCCTCCAATTTACTCAAATAGACTTGCTTATAAATGCCCTAAAGACACAGTTGAATGTAGGTTGTGCAAATCCTGCTCAACCTGTAAACGTTTTTAAAGCTACTGTTTCTAATATTTTATCAGATTTGTTTCTGAGGCTCACAATTAAATAAGTATTATGCACTCTCCGTATGTCGTTAAGTAGCTTCATTGAGATCTATGGTATGTGTATGAAGTTTTTCTATGTCTATATCTATGTGTACCTATTAGCTAGTATTTAGTATAAATAATATAAAACACTAAGTCCAACAATGGGTGATACGGTCAGACTTTTTTTATACCTTGTTTCGCGAACTTATTTTTTTTTAGATCATCAGGAGGTGAGAAAAAAATAAAAATAAAATTTTTTTTTTCTTATTTAGCAAATAGTTTTGCCAAAAACATCCAGATGGAGGAGAAAATAAAAAAAAAATAAAAAATAAAAAACTAAAAAAAAAAATTAAAAAAAAAAAAAAAAATAAAAAAAATTTAAAATTTAAAGTTAAAAAAAAAAAAAGAAAAAAAAAATTAAAATAAATAAAATAAAGATTATATTGGTGATTGTTAACAGTGTAGTAATGGGATGGTTAAATGCTTTAAATTTATATAATTAGTAAGAAATATACATATCTTATTTTTTGAGATTTCAAGGCAGCAGCAGGCATAATAGAAATAAAGAAAAACTTTAATATTTTCTGAAAATTTCCATTTTTTCATGGCGGCAGGTGCACTAACTAACCAAAAATAAAATGTTATTTTTATAAAAAAAATCCTCATTATTGGCTGGCGGCAGGTTCGCTAAACAAGGTACAGAAAAAATCTTGTCTACGATAGTTGATATATTCAGTGTACAGACTTTGGACAAAAAAAAAAGCCTTGTAAAAAGCAAATCCATTTATACATTTTAACTGTGGAATTACTCTATTCCATATTTAATTATATTTGATTTATTTGTTTACTTCATATTTTGCAATATAATAAAATGCACTTAATAGAAAAATTCAAGGTGGTTATCAGCTAGGAATCAGATCAATTGGTAGATCAGCCTATTGGTAATTAGATAGTATTGAATTCAAATTCAAATGGAAACCATAATCTTTTCTCCCAATCATTGTGTTGACAAGTGGTAACTAATCTAGCCTTCATATAATAATTTCCACTAGTGTATGATTCTAATTTCCCATACCACAATAGTGCAACAATTGGCAGTAGCAGTTGATTTATTAAGTGTTCAGACTTGAAAAAAAAAGCCTTGTAAAAACCAAATCCATATTTAATTGTGAAATCACTGCATTCCATACATAATTAATAAATATATTTATTTTTTAATGCACATTTTGCAATATGTGGCAAAGACAAGCCAAACCAGTCACTCGTAGCAAATCCTGTTTCAGAGAAATTGGCCAAAACATGCTGGAATGTCAACATATTTAAAATCTATTTTATTGCACTAAACTAACCTTTATGTACATCTATACATCATGCTATGCTTTTATTTTCCCCATTTTCAATGTTAAAACAATAATGTTTAACGATTTGGTGATGGTTTCTGTCTGAGATATGCCCGAAATCATAAACCTTGAAGGCTGATTTCTCAAATATTGCTGTTTAAACAACTGTATGTTTAAACTCCTGTAACTTCATAACGAAATGTTGGATTTAAATGATTCTTTCCCATATTAAAGCTCTCATTTTACTGTTTAACCCTGCATTAATAATTGAACATCAAATTTTGCAATGTGTGACTGGTTTGGCTTATCTTAGCCACAAATAATAAAATGCACTAATAGAAAAAAAAATCAAGGTGGTTATCAGCTAGGAATCACATTCATTGATAGATCAACTAAATGGAAATCAGATGATAGTAAACAATATGCTTTCCACACTCACCATAATAACTAAGGTAGATGTCATTTTCTATAGTGCCTTTCTCTTTCTTTACAAGGATGTCATTATTTAATAATTCACAAGATAATTATCTATACAGAAATTGATTTTTGTTTTTCATAAACACAAAAACTATAATATTTCATGGTTGTTTTTGATGATATAGTATAATATCCAAATAAGGGTATTATGATGAAATAACAATACCGAAGCAAAAGAATAATAAATGATGGTGTTTTCAGAAATTTTATGAGTATCTATTTTACAGGCCCCATTAAGAAGAGCGACAACAACAAACAAATGTCATCTAATATAAAAACAGGCATAGAAAAAACACATTTAGAGAGACACAACATTGACAAAAATAACTAATGACTAACACACTTTCACAGATCAAAGCTTAGCAATTTTTTTTATAAATTGTTTTCAATTCCTAATGGTGATGATATTATCCTCAGCAAATGCAATCATAAAAAAAAACATTTACATGAATTTGAATTCATTTGATATAATGTGTATTATATATAAATACATACACACACATAAATAAATTGTTTAATATATAATATATAAAAAATATATATATATAATGATATGATAGAGATAAACTTTAAATCGTCTTGTAAATAAATGTTTGAACTTTAAAGCAAAGGAATTTGCGAGTGCGAAAGGAAATTGCGAGTGCGAAAAAAGTAGGTGGCAAAAGCGGGAATCGAACCCGGGACCTTCAGCTGTCTATCCAAGCGCCTTAACCAACTAGGCCATTTAGATTTTTTTTTAAATTCAAATCCGATTGAAGCACCTAATTCTTTTGCACCGATGTGCATGTGAGACAGCACTAGTCCTTGATGCATGGCAAATAACAGATATCATTATGATACTACTTTTCAGCAATTCACAACAAGATGAGATCATCAGCTTGTTTGAGAATGTTCCATTTAATTTTAAAGTGTATATATATATACTTTAAAATTATATATATTATATATATATCATCAAAAAGAAAAAAATGTGGACTTTAAAATTAAATGGAACATTTTCAAACAAGCTAAACCATATAACCCATATACATTTTAAACAGAAAAAGGATTAGGGTTCGAATCCCAGTAAGAGCCACTCTTTGTTACATACTTCCAGAGTCCTCATCTTAATATATTTCAATGAAAATTTAAGTATATTCTTTATAAAAAAAATATGACAAAACATCTATTAAAAGCTATTTAATAATGGTATGTGTATGTAGTAGTAGTGAGGTTGTCTGAAGATGTACTAGATAGCCTGTGGGCTGGATCTCCATCTCTCAATAGATACTGATGGCAAATACTTTTAAGAATATCCAGAAGCTAAAAAACGTCTGACATTTCAAAGGTTCACTTTTAAAATATAGATTTACATTAACTTATTGAAATTTGAAGAAAAAAAAATTAAATGAAGAATGGAATACATTTTGTTTGCACATTGAAGGATGCTCATTTGTGATTGATGTATTAGAGGAAATTGAATTCCTATTGAATAATTTGTCTAGGTTTTCCTTTTTCAATTAGAATAATCCTCTTAATATGTATTATTAACAATGAAAAACATAAAAATATATAAAATGCAGTACATTTATAAATGGATAATGAAGTTTACAGAAAATTACAAGAAAAATATATAATTAAATATGTAAATAGAGAATAAAACTGAAAAAAACTTGGATATGATAAAATTCTCTGTATTCAACCATCTCCTTAACTGATTCCATTTAAACCATGCAACTTATACTCAAATGAATACAGTAGCAAATAACACTGAAAAACAACTGTGTTTATTCACAAAACATAAACTCTTTCATTAGGAATGTAAGAAAACACTAAAAAGAGATACAATTCCCTGTATAATATAAATACATGACTGAAAGAAAAAACAAGTGTTTGGAAATTCTAGTTTATCTATTATAATGGCATTATGGCATTTTTGTTTCAGTTCTATTGGATCATGTATAATAAAAATAATGATGATAGGAATAAAAATAATACCATAATAAAGAAAGCAATAAAAGTAATAATAATATTGTTGTTAATAATAATAATAAAACAATAAAAATAATATTAAAAACAACAATAATATATTACACAGACTTTCATAGTGCATTTTTCCCTACCTCCTGCTTTAGTAATGTACACAATGTGGGTTAATGGTATACAAGTCTATATTCTTGAATAAATTGAACCATAAGCCATAAAAAAAAAATTTAAAAAAACATGGTCAGATACTTATAGTAAAGAAATACCATAATCTAGACCTAGAAACCAATTTTTTTAACATTTAGTTGGCTGTTAATTCCTAACAGTGGTGGCTCAATGACTG